CCACCGATAGTTCCCCAAAACCCCAAAACCCCAAAACCCCAAAACCCCTCTTAGTCTAAATTCCATTGAAAATTAATGCTGAATAATAGACTGTGACGAGGTATCAGCTATCCATTGGCTGCTCAACTCAGAATTTGCATTCTGAGAATCTGTATCTTGGAAGCTGTTCAATTTCTTTTTGTATTCATCATCTCTGGAAGGGGTAACTGATTGTTGGATTCTAGAGCCCTGATCTTCTTCATCTTCTGCGTTGTCTTCTGTTCCAGGATCTTCTGTAGGAGGTGATGCTGAGGAACTATCGGTGGAGGGAGGAGATGTATTGGAATTTGATTGTGCTTCAGTAGGAGTTTCAGTCTCTTCTGAAGTTGAGTCTTCAGAATTTTCAGTTGATGGATTAATATCGGGTGAAGAATCATCTTCAGCAGTTGTGCCATTTACAGAAGTAGCATCATCTTCAGCTGCAGAGTCATCTTCAGTTACTTCTTCATTTTGAGTTTCAACCTCATTTTCTACATTTCTGTTCATTGAAGGAGTTCTAAATGGAACGAATTCAGGGAAGGGAAGTCGAACATTGATTTCTCCTACAATAGGGTATGGAGAATGCCTATCAACTAGTATATCAGTATCAGGATTAAGTCTAAAGCCTTGAACCTTATCATGATCATATATAGGATTGAAAGTAGCTCTTGGAGATTGCGATCTGATTGGAGGAGGTTGACTTAAAGTTGTACTTACACCTCCTCGATAGTTAATCAAAGTCAATGCTCTATCTTCTCTATCCTGAGTTTGTCTATAGTTTCCAACAAGGTCATCTGGAAAGGCATCAAGGAATGCTTGAGAGATTCTTTTAATATTAGTGATCACTAAGTAATTTACATTTGGTGTGCAAGGAGGACGACTAAGACTTCCTTCATATGACACCATTTGGCGAACTCCATTAAGCATTAAACTTAAGTCGACAACTGACTTCATATTCCTGGAATCTCCAGAATGCATACCTGAGGCCTGAAGTAAATCAAGCTGATCCATAAACATAGAGTTGGTATTATTCAACCTATAAAACATCACAACAACCAAGATTTGATTATGCTCTGTTCTATGAACGACCTGCATTTCCATATCAAGTCTACTCTCTAATGTTCCAAAAGTATGCTCGCTTTCCCGATAAAAGATCATCTCTGTAGCCAAGTAAGTCAAACCATTAAAAGTAGCATGGCCAAACTCTCCTCTAATTCTTAAATTCATGCCTGAATGAGTGACAACAGCATCTTCAACTGGTTCATAAGCAAAAGAGAGGTCATCTTCAGTTAAATTTACAGACCTAGTATAAGGAGAGTTTATATTAATCGGACTTTGCCACGGATCCTCTCACAAATCACCCCAAGGCTCAAGAGGATCATATGTCCAAAGCTCATCAGAGTCTGTGGAGGCAAGGCAAACTATTAGTAGGAGGAAGATAGCCCTCATTTTTATAATATTTCAATAATCTCCTGATAAATTGGGGTTTTGGGGTTTTGGGGTTTTGGGGTTTTGGGG